TCGTTTTCATCCATTTTCTCAATTAAAAGCTGTAAAGTGACGAATATACTCTATATTTAAATTTAAAAAAAAATAAAGAACAAATTGCAACTACACTACCCAATTTTTCAAAAATGTACAATTAAATTTCAAATAATGATTTTTACAATTTGTTATTTATTTTTATTTTATTTAAATAGTAGGGTATCTTCGTTATTTTACTGTTTTTAATTGAAAAAATGGATGGAAATAATGATTTCCACAATGAAATGTGAAAAATGAGGATGAATATATCAAAAAATGAAAGGTAATGACATTTTGCATAATAATATTGAAAGGAATAAACGTTTTATATTAATTATCCTTTTAATGGTTTATTTGAATTATTTGCGATTTTTTAACAAGTTTAGGAGTATAATTGCAATTTGCTCTTAAATTTTTTTTTTTGTATTTAAATATGGTGTTATATTTGTTATTTACATTATTTTATCGAGAAATTGGATGAAAAAAGACATTTTTGGTAATTGAAGGTGAAAATGTCAAAATAAAAGGTATAGACGTTTTGTACAATAATATTAAAAGGTATGGACGTTTTGTACTAAGTATCCTTTAATGAAAAATAAATAGAATGAGTGATAAAAAAAAGGAAAATTGTAAATTTTATAAAATATATGGTTAAAACTTAAAATTGACTTGAATTTAAATAACGATTTAAGCTCCTGTTTGGATTCCATTTTCTAGAAATGAAAATTTGTAGAATAGTGTTTTTTTTTTAAAAAAAATGAGCGGTTTAAAAAAAAAATGAAAAGTTTTCGATTTACATGTAATATTATTTTATGGAAGATTGTGTAGTTAAAAATAAAAGAGAGAAAAATGTAATGTAATGAAATTTAACGGGGGCCAAACGAGAGTAATTCCTACCACAGTCTAGCCGTAAATTACCTGGTGTCAATTCGCCCAGTCTCACCAGTGATGTCGCCTTTTAGGATCTCAAAATAGAATATGCGTTTCTTGGTAATAAGGCGCTTTCAAAAAATTATATTACAATTTCTTCCAAAAAAATTGTATCATTGACCAACAATTTACAAGTTGCTACTAGTTTGATGTCACGCTTTATATTTAAATTGTCATTACGGTTCCCCCCTATTTGATAACCATTATAAAAGAGAAATTGGAGATAATTTTTATTTTGAATAATAACTTTTTTAAGGATGTGTGATCATCAAGTAAAAAAATAAATTAATTTAAATTTACGTACAAAATATTTTATTATTAATTGAAAATGTTTGATTGACCTTATTTTTCATAAAAAAATATCACTTTTCACCCAAGTTCCTACTTATAGAATGTTTAATTGACATTTTTCTTATGAAAAATATTTTTTAAAAGTTGATCATCTAATCACATTTTCTTAAAAAATAAAGAAAATATTTTATTTCGGGGGAAGTAAATTTTCATTTTTCGAATATTTCACTCTCACTCTCACCTACCCACCAATAAAAAACGTACAAATAAATCAAACACATTTAATTAATAATTACATTTAAATAAATTTTAAACATCTAAATTACTTAGAACTTATTTTCTTTCCATGTTTACAATTAAACACATCCTAAACTATACAAAAACTGAAGGGTATAAAATTATTGAGCATAAACTTTTTATAAAACTCCAGTCACGTTTAAAAGTATTTGTTCGTAAATTAAATAGAAGAGCCCCAAACCCCTCGCATTGTATGTCAATAATGTCGTTCAACTTAAAAAATTGAATTAAAATCAAAATCAAAATCAACATAATTTTAACAACATATTTCATTGTACCCTCAACTTTTCAACCCCCCTCGTTCAATCAATTTTTATCGTAATCTCCTAAAGACCTTATTTCTACCTAAATCTAACAGGGCTAAGTAACATAGCAGACTAGCAGTTCCTAGCAGATTGCGTGCATAGAAAAATCGTAGTTTAATGAATAATTCTCTTGATATGGATTCAAATTTAATCAATGATCTACATAGAAAAATCGTAGTTTAATGAATAATTCTCTTGATATGGATTCAAATTTAATCAATGACCTACCAATACAAACAAAATCATATCAATTCAAGAATCATAATGTGTCTAAAACAGGGTTGAAATGCATTCATAAACCACATGACAGCATCCATTGAAGTGAATCTTGTCATTATACGAAGAGGAAACAAAGGTCCATTTGTCTCAACAATTTACTGTTACACCAAAACCTTGACTTGAGTAAACACTTGAAACGGAAAAATAAATTTATTCTTCATCCTCAATGACTTGAGTGCCTAAACCCTTAAGACCTCCCTCGGGAATTTCAGCAACAGTTACCAAGGAGTAAAGCTCCTCCTTAGCATCTTCATCGTCATTTCTTTTGCGTGCAATGCGGACACGGATTCTTCTTGGAACGCTTCGGATTCCACGGCTCCAGATTTGTTTGTTCAACTTCACATCAACTCTTACATCAGTTGTGCCCATAGCCTTTTGGGCGAACTTCCTGATTTCCTTAATGGCTTTTGGAGCCTTCTTCTTGAAGGTGCTGTTCAAAGATCCACAACATAATGAATTTTATCCAAACGACACAATCAGATACAGAAATATAATGAAGTTGTCAAAAGGAATTTGTAAAGTAAAACCTGGAACAAGCGGGAATATGATGGCTTTTAACAATTATTAAAAAGTTATCTTTCGGTGATTAAACAGTCTGTAATTTGATCGAACAAGAAATGGATGCCTATCACCCTGAAATTTAGGACTTGATAACATTTTTTTTCCATGCAGCAGCCTATACGATTTAGGACATTTTATGCAGTTGTCATTGTTCCAACATTTACAGGCATCACATAACAATGTATGTTCATGTATAAACACAGTTCCTCAAACTCATGGCCAAATACACACCAACTAGTCTGCTGCAGATAAAAAAAGAAAGAAAGAATGAAATCACTAAGCATACTAAACAGATACACAGATATGAATGTCATTACATAACCCAAAAAGAGAGAGAGAGAGAGAGAGAGAGAAGTGGGCATCTCGGTAAAAGAGACATAAAACACATATAACAAGATAATCAGAAAACTGCACCATATTCGGATTCCGGTGTTTATCGTATCATTATGACTATATTGAAAGATGTTTGGAATATTTACATTCGAGTTCCTATTTTGTAAATTCTGAATTGCAGCAACTAAGGAGAAACTGCAATATATATTAATAGAAAATAATAGTGCTCATGAAATATTGTCCTCAATCAAAATTAACACCAAAAAACAAATTTTTTTTGTCCAATTTGTAAAAGATTAAGAACCAATCGGTTCATACAGTTCTTTCCCATCGACACAACAGTTTTAACTCCAACCAAATATTTAGAAGACTTTCACACACTACAAAGTAGCAGACAGAATTTTTTTTATAAAAAAAAGCACAGGCAAAAATGATGAGAAATTTTAAAATTTTAACCTAAAATATAACATTACATGTTTTTGGACCACAGAAATTTGATAAAAATAGAAACAAATTAAAAAGAAGATAGGAAAATGAAACAGTTAACACTAAAAATGATCCCAATAATCCAATCGGAACGTGATAACAAGACAATACAGATCTAAACAACTAATACACTTTACAAGTAAAATCCGAAGTAAATGCACGCACATATTCAACATACACATCTATGTATTTATGAACAGTTATTCACAGTCTAATATATATTTATAGAAGAGGTAGAGGAAATACCATCCGTGCAGGCGTTTATGGAGGTTGATTGTATATTCCCTTGCCACGACTTCCTCTTTCCTTGCCTTGCTGCCCTTTTCCACCATTTTTACCGCCGCTGTAACACTGAATTTTTTTTTCCCGGCGCTTCGAGCCGCTGCTAGAGAAACCCTAATAGCTTTGAAGGAATATATATAGCTGGTGCTTCGTAATTGGTAAAGGAGCCCACAGTTTGGGCTTAGGTCCGGCCCAGGTAAATGATTGGGTATAGTACGGGTCGGAGCGCCTGAAATCCGAAAATATTTTTAACCTTTTGTCTTTGCCATTTAAGAATGAATAATGCTATTTAACTCCATTGAAATTGCAACCTCAATTTAGTTTATGTTGCTCTAATATGATATTAATTGGTAGGTTGAATTAAATAGCTCATTTAATTACATATTTCATTTAACCTATCATTTAGTGCCACTTATATTATGGTTGTAATTTTAGTGGGGGTATATAACATTACTCTTTAAAAATCATTTAAAACGATGTCCATCCAAAAAGTGCATTGATAATTGAGAGTCTAAAAAGAAAAAAGATTAACCTACTTGTACAACACCTTAAAGATCATTTAAAACGATGTCCATCCAAAAAGTGCATTGATAATTGAGAGTCTATAAAGAAAAAAGATTAACTTACTTGTACAACACCAAAAGGTGTTGTACAGTTACAGCCCCCTCACCGTCGAGGGGGCCCACGCCCATTTTTTTAATCGGCTGCCCCCTCGATGTGAGGGGGCTGTGAACCGATCTGTGTGCCATGCTGTGCACACAACTCGGTCCAAAGAAAAATGCTGTCCCATTCTTTCTCTTCGCCACCAAGTCAGTATTGGACTCACTTAAAAATCCCCAAAGATACGATTCATTTACAATTTCACAATGAATTATAGCATTAATGATTCTAAACAAGGTTGGCCCTGGCCTAAGGCAGACCAGGCCATTGCCTTGGGCCTCAAAAATCAAGGTGCCTTATAAAAATATAAATAGGCCCAAATCCTGCCAAATCCAAAACACATCCAATCACTGAAAAGGAAACCGAGAAGGCATTGATAGAGAGCCAAACCAACAACAAGCGAGGAGAAATCTCGTTTAGAATCCGAATCAACAAGAAGCAAGGAGAAATCTCATTTAGAATCCGGCATTGACTAGGGCTCTATTTCAGGTTTCTTTCTATCTTGGGGTTTTCTTTTTCAATATGCTTTTTGTATTTTGAATTTACTTTGATTCCTGGATTCTTGTTGTTGTTATTTGTTTCTTGTTTTTGTGGATTAGGGGTGTGTTTTTTTCTTCTTGATTTTGTGAATTAGGGGTTTTTGTTTAGGTGGGAATAATAAGCAATGGTAATCTGTCAAGCTATTACCATTAAAATTCAACTTTAAAAGTTATTTAAAATTGAAAATTGTCTATCGGGATTTTGACAATGAACATTTTCGAGTTTAGATTCAACTCTAAAAGGCTTAAAAGAAATCATATTATGAAGATCTGCAAAGTCCCTAAAGCATTCTCAATAATAAGAAAAGCATAAGTACTCGTAAACTAAACTTGGCTTATAATTATTATTACCCACACTAGGAAATAGTTTTGAAATCATGACACTAAAAATGTCAAGAAGGAGCCATAAAGAGGGGAAACATGTAGAATAATATGTTTTCTTCCTTGTGCAATCAGTTGAGAGTTCAAGGAATTCAAACACAAATGTACTGAACATCTATTATATAGAGGAGCCATGGTAGAAGTGTAAAGATACAGAGTAAATGATGCAGGAAAATTTTTAATTTTTAGGAAAATGAGATAATGTTCATAGGATGTTTATACAGAGCTTTTAGTATTCTGTCCTTAATATGTTTTCCTAGTTAATTAGAAATTATTAATAAACATTTGCTTTCCTATACATTTTCAGATTTTATGTTTAAATTTGCCTCAGCATTTTCTACTAGGGTTCAGATTTTGAGTTCTATACCGATAAAGATTTCCAAACATTAGAAATAGGAATATATAACGTGTTATTTTCTCAATGGGATTTTTCTTTTTCTTTGTAACTACACATTATGGGTTTTTTCTTACATGTTGATTTCTGAATCCTTTCATTCGAAGAAGTTTGGAAATTTTTAAATTACACTCATTTGTTAGGTTCTACTGCTCTATCTCTATAAGAAAATTTGAATCTGGATATGCCAAAAGAAAGAGGAATAAAAAGGTTGAGAGAGATTTTGTTTGGCTAATCTATATTTTAAATTGCAAAAATCTTCATTTTAATATAAAAATATAATTTATTTAAATGTTTTCACACATTTAAAAAAATTATGTTTGAGGACCTCATGTTAATTAGTCGCCTAGGGCCACTAAATTCTCGGGGCCAGCCCTGATTCTAAACGTTAAACTTGTAGATTATAATCTACCTACAAATATTGTTTTCTATGATGCACTAGTTAATATTGTAAATGTTATAACACAATGATGTGGACATCATCCTATATTTTTATGTTTTGTTATTGGGCTCGTAATATTGGGTTAGCCCAAACCCATTTACTTTCTTGGTTTGTTGATTTCTCCATTCATATGGCTTGTATTGAACATGAAAAATTAGTTGATAAATATGAATTATTGAAATTGGTTTTGGCTTGCAGCCAACGTATCTCCATTCCATGTCTTCCCATTTGATCTCTTCTTTTCTAGGTTCCTCCCCCTTTATCTCCCGTTCTTCCTTCCCCCTCATTCTTGTTGTCTTCTTCTTCTTCTTCTCTGCCCTGCTTCTTCTTCTCGTTGTGTTTTTCTCCTCTGCTGGTTATCTTCTCCTCTGCTACTACCTATAAGTTCTTTGTTGGAATACCATTTTTCAACTCAATCTCCTTCAAATTTGGTATCAAAACTAAACCTGGATTCAATAATAAAAACCATAGTCCAACGACTCCTAGCGACATCTTCATCAAATTCCAAAATTGCTGCTGTGAAGTTCATGATACCTAAAATTTACCTCCAGCAATTTGTCATTCTCCACAACTTGAAATCGTCACTGCAACCCCCTACAATCTTCACCATGCCAACAGTTAACAGATCCTTCATTGACAGTCCAGTAAATTCAATACTTCATCTATTACAATAGACATATATTCAGCCCATCATCTAGATCCCTACAACTTTCCAACACCCCAAATTTCCTCAAACCTAACCCCACTGCATCCCACATTTTCATCCAAACTCCCCATCATCGAAAACATAAAACGAAGTCTACGAATTAACAAAAAATAAAATAAAAAATACCACAAACAATAACTACCTCACGCATGATCTCATGGTAAACTGCCTCAACGCCCATTCACAAAAATCGCTACCCACAATTAATAGATCCATACAACCATACAACTAGTCACCACTACCACATAATCCTCCCACCACCATCGTATAATCCTCCCAAACCCAGTCACCATCTTCATTAGCCCACAAATTACGACTGAACCACCCATGTACAAAATAGTTAATTACCAAAAACTCCCCACCGTCTATCGATTTTACAGAACCACCATCGCCCACGCCCTGCAATTCACGTCACTGCTACCACTCAATACCAGCAAGCAAATCACACCACAATTTGTTCTAAATCCAAAAACAGCCAACTCCGCCGCCATCCATAAAATCCAGCTAACGCCTCCTCTCGCCAAGAACTATCTCGCGTTGACAACCCATAGTCGGTACCCACTAACAAAATCTGTTTGTTTGTTAAGAGCTCCTCCACTCACATGCAGGGCCTTCGTTCATCCAATCGATAAACCCTTTTGGATGTTAGAAATTGGTTGAAAAATCAAAAGAAAATTAAGTATAAAAGGTGTGACTTCGTCTCAACCTCGGTCAAATATTCTGATTCGATCTAATGATCAAATTATAAAAGTAAATAGATCAACTTATTCTACTCGTTGAGCAGATCATCGTAGTATATTTGGAGTCTCAAAACCAATTTCGGATGTACGAAAAAATTGCGGTCCAAAGTTGGAAGGAAAAAATGGAGGAAATGGTTGTCGCTCGATATTCGCTCGAGCGACAGCGTCGTCGTCTCTCGATTATCGCTCGAGCGAAAGGCGAGCAAAAAGTTCACTGTTTTTGTCGCTCAAGCGAGTGCATAGCGAAATGAACTAGTGTCTCTGTTCGTAAAGTTGCATGGTTTGGTTTGCGAGATTTCACCACACCGCTTCATCCTCTATAAATAGAGGCCTTTGGATGTCCATTTGGGATACACCAATTGCATAAAGCACCCATTCTTCTCTTGCAATTCTCTTCTTTCTCCTTTATTGTATTGTTTGCATACTTCCTTTTTAGATGGGAAGTTCTGTTGAAAATTCGTTGATTTCTTGTGGTTTGAAGTGCTAGCAACACAAGTTGTGAATACATTTTATCTTGGAAGACAAGTACTGTTCACCATGAGCACCGTTGCGGGGCAATTTGTCTTAAGGAAAGAGTAAACCACTCGTCTTGGATTGATTCTCATTTTCTACTCCTTCTTTTGGTTATATTTTACATTTTAATATACTGAAACTCTATCAAATTTTTCGTTCATATTAGATTGTGCTTTGATTACGTTCCTGTGGGTTAAAACTTGTTAAACAATTTATCAAAAACCAACCCAAACATCGCCCGTTTCTATATGTTGCCCCAACAAACTTAAGGCAAATTGTGTTTCTTTGTGGTTGGTTGTAGACAAACCTTACTCTGTTTGAATAGTATTTTGTGTACTATTCCTCCACCAACATCAATTTTACTTTGTTGAACTTTTGTTTGTGTAATAAAAATGAATTCCGTTGAGGCTAATACAAGTCAAATCGGAAGGGAAATTTTGGTCTTGCCTAGAGCAAATAATGTGGCTCCGATGGTGATACCAATACAAACTACTTCAATCCCGCATGGTGAAAAATAGAAAAAATTTGGAGGTGTGGATTTTAAAAGATTGCAACAAAAGATGTTGTTCTATCTCACTACCCTCAATTTAGCAAAATTCCTAAAGAAAATCGCGCCAACCATACAATGGGGGAAAATAATATTGCATTGATTATTGCGTTGGATACATGGAAGCACTCGGCCTTTCTGTGCAAAAATTACATACTGAACGGGTTGGACAATACATTATATGGAGTGTATAGTTCAAAAGACTCGGTCAAGGATCTATAAGAATCTTTGCAAAATAAATATAAGATTGAGGATGCCGAAACTAAAAAGTTCATCGTTGGCAAGTTTTTGGACTACAAGATGGTAGATATCAGAACGGTGATAAGTCAAGTACAAGAAATTCAAGTTCTATTGCACGATATACATGCCGAAAAGATGGAACTAAGAGAATCATTTCAAGTGGCTGCCATCATTGAGAAACTCCCTCTTTTGTGGAGAGATTTCAAAAATTATTTCAAGCACAAACGTAAGGAAATGAATTTAGAAGAATTGATCGTCTGCTTGAGAATTGAAAAAGACAAAAGGAAAAATGAAAGGAAACCTCTTGACCAACTTGGAGCAAACTTTGTTGAAACAAAACAACGGGTTGTCAACAATAAACGAAAAAATCTCTGGCAATGTACCACGAAGAGATAATTCTAAGAAAGCAAAGAAGTTCAAAGAGAACGTAAATGTTGAAAGCCAAAGAAGAATGCTCAAACCTACATGGTTACAAATGACACTCTATCCGACCGGCTGCAAGAAATGAGTTTATCTGCAGTAGTGTCCGAATGCAATATGATTGAAAATACTAGAGAATGGTAGATTGACACCGGCGCTTCTCGCCATGTGTGTGCGGACAAGGCAATGTTCTCCAACTATCAAGAATTGAATGGGGAACAACTATACATGGGGAATTCTGCAAGTTCCAAAGTTGAAGGACAAGGCAAAGTCACCTTGAAGATGACATCCGAAAAAAAACTCGTTCTCAGCAATGTCCTACATGTGTTGGATATACAAAAGAATTTAGTGTTCAGGTCTCTACTAGCAAGAATGATTTTAAACTTTTATTTATATCAAATAAATTTGTGTTGTCTAAGAATAAGATGTATGTAGAAAAATAATACATGTGTGATGGAATGTTCAAGTTTAACGTTCTTACAATTGTACCTTAGCAAGTCGTTATGAATAAAACTATAAATTCAGTTTACTTGCTTGAACCTTCATATTTCTGGCATAGTCGATTAG